TTAATTTTTGATAAGTATTTCTATTTTTTCAAAGGTGTGGAGTGCAAGATTCCTGCAACACCTCTTAAGGGTGAAAAAGAGCCAGAAAAGAATAAGTACGTTTATGAAGACAGGGTAGAGTTCAGGTGTGACACAAACTACACGCTGATTGGAAATAGTTCCATCATCTGCCAACATGATAAGACATGGACAAGGGATGCACCACGATGCTTGGGTTAGAATGCATACCATATAAACGTTTGACTCGTAACTGACCCATTTATCTTTTCTTTTTTCTTTTTTATACTCTTTACAACTGCTATTTTCATAAACATGCGAAACCAGTAGCTGCGATCCGCGCGATGAAATTTGTTTTTTCGCCGCTGTCAATTGAAACTAATCAGTCAGTACCTTTCACGATTTTGACTGGCGGCAGTAAAAAAACAAATTCCAACGGGCAAATCGTGTTTGGTATTAGGTATTCCAACAGCTTCTGTTCCACATTTGGGACAAAACTTAAAATTCTTAAACCCACACAAGTGACAATACCGATCGCCATTTTCATTTCAATCCAACTAAACATGGGGCATGCGTTCCCAGTTCCCAGCAAGCGGAGAACATGAGTAGCCGCCAGTCCACTTGAAAAATATTTTTGCACTGGGAAATATTTTTGTATTGGAAGGGTTTTTGTATTGGGAAATATTTTTATTGTCTGGCATACATATATGTGTGCTGAAATACACATTCTTGTACTGACATTAATATATTTGTACTGTGTTTGATATTTTTGTGTTGCCCTTGTGGGCCACCGTAAAATGGCAACTTCAACTACTTGTACGTTTATGAAAATAGTAGTAAGCTAACTTTGTGTGATGAAGGGAGCCCATTTTCTCTACTCTCGCTTAAAATATGATTTTGATTTTGATTTTTTCCCATTTGTAGACGTAATACTAATCTACTAACAATTCACACTCATGATTGTAAGCTGCAAGGCTGCTAATAGCACCTTAATATGCAGCCCGTAAAGTCCTCCAGTGGTCATAAACGTAAAGCGCATTGAGATATTTAAAATGCGCTATATGAGAAACTCCCATTATTATTATTATTATT